AGGAATGTTGATGGTGTGCATTAGTGTGTTCCCTTTAACATTGGTCCGTGCTGTACATGTATGCGTGGATACTGCAGACATAACTAATTAGCGCGAGAAACAATGGACACGGTGAAGACAACAGACAGGACCTTGTCCGTTGCTTTCTGCGCTAATTAGTTATTTCTGCAGTTATTGCACACCAACTGGCCCAACTCGCTTCAGGGAAGGCCGAAGGAGGCCTATACACAGCAACGCAGTCAGTATAAAAAATGGCGCCACAGTTTACTCCTAGGATCAAACTTTCCTGACCATCAATTTGGTTCAAAACAATACCAGGACGATTGGTGCCGTTAAACAATGGCTACACCGCCTCCCCACCTCCTTGACCACTCACAACGAAAAAATGTTATATAAGTTTGGAGGTATTAAAATCGAATCGCAAACGTTATAATTATCCGGGTTTACCTAATTATTACTGTACGGACCTCTCGATATTACCCACAGGTGTGTAGTGTTTGTTTGTGTGTGCACATATGTTAAAGGAACTGACAAGCGAATTTTCTCGTCCCAATTTTTTCTGGTCAATGAATAGCTTCCCTTCAGTAGTAGTTAAACCTCCAGCGTATGATTTTTTTTTTCCAAATGCACATGGAAAAACTCCCAAGCATTTCCCCGAGGATGAACATGGTTAAGTGCGAATACACGGGGTGATGCTACGAGGGGTATTTATTAATTCGCACTATTATATTTATTAATCACACTATGGTGCCTTTATGTTGTAATGGTTCCTGGGAATCGCAATTTGATCACACGGGGGAGTTTACGTTAACTCACTGGCGAATGCCAACGGATTTTAACTTTACTCCCCCTCACGACCCACTCTCGACGGGAGACTGAGAGAGAAGGCGGGCGCGCGAGAGAGAGGGGTGCGCGCGCAGCTGCAGCGAGCGAGGAGAGCGGAGGAGCGAGCGAAGGGGGAGGGGGTATAGGGCGCGTTACTGACACCGATATCAGTGTCGCGTCCTCGCGCTGCGGCCCGCCAAGTCCTCTTTCTTTTAAAGATAGAGAGAAGACTGCGGACGCCGCCGACGGCGGTGGATGGTTTGGGGTCGCTTATAAAGTGTATTCACACTTAATATTTGTGAGGAGAACTTTTCAGTCTCAGAAGCCAGTAAAAGGTACGAGTGCCTCACCCAGCAACGCTGCGAACTGATAGCAGTGCCGATGGCTCTCCTCGCAAGAGAGAGAGAGAAACAACTTTATTTCCCTCCTCGCAAAACTGTTCATTCGGCTCAACGTTCTACTTTCACAGGAGTGAGTGCAACTGTGGTTAACCACCGTCATTTTGCCAATTTCAACCGTTTCTTTTTAAATATAAAAAGCCGACGGATTAAGTTTTCCTAATGCTCGTCGTCACACACTTTTCCACCTCGCGGACTTTTCTAACTTGTCTACAGGTGCCGCTAGTAGTGCTTCGGCTAACTTTTATGTTGCCCGTGACATCCGCGATAGTAACCATGGAATGGATTCACTAAACGAGCTTATTGCCTCACGATTTTTTTTTTTTTAGAATCTGTACAGTACGAACGGAACTACTACTAAGATTTGTCGCATGCTGAAATTACATTCTCTCTTCTCTCGTATACACATGAAAGCAAAGCAGGAAGGGATCGCTTTCTCTTATCTCGACAAATGACGCTACAAGCTGATAAATAGCTCGTCACAGCCATGGTATCAGTCATTGGCTGATTTGAGCATGGCGCGCTCGGTCGTTACTGGGGTCGCCGTAGGAGGCCGCTACTTGTCCACGCGTGTGTGCGCTATCGCACTGAAAATCCGCGTATTCGATGAAAAAAAGAAAGGAGAAAAAGTGCTCAAGGTCACGAGGCGCGAGTGAGGTATTTTCATACTGTCCGTTTGCCAACGCCATCTGGTCGCACATATGTGAGACAGTCGGAGCGGTGTGTAAATGTTCGACTCCGTGAACACCGTTCTTCACTAAAAGGCAGACCACGTGCCTCGTCACGCGCAGAATGCAAATGTGTTTTGGTAAAGCTGCCGTACTATTTCAAAACAGTGACCAAACCGCTAGAGAGGTAGCTGAATCTTTTTTTTTTTCATTGCAAATTTAGGTGATAAATGCTTAAGCCGCTTATCTTCATTCCTGACACGGAACTAGCTTCCCTGGCGTCAGGGCTGTAAAAAAGCGATAGCCAAATTGCTGATTATGTTTATATAGTTTTGTGTTGTTGGACGAAGTCATTGCGCATGACAAGTTGTTTTCATGTATACAGGTTCTCATCCGAAAAAATAATAATAAACGTCAGTTGAAAGTTAGCACCCGTGTTGCCTTCTTGTTGTGCCCACGTGTTTATTTGCGATATTTTACAACCAATTTCATGATTGCATGGTACCCGCTAGCTGAAGCGAGTTTGACGGCTAAACCGTTCCGATTTATTTATTTTTTCTTTCCTGACGCATGCCGCTCCATTATTCGCATAGCTAGGAGGGTGGTAAAGGGTGCGGTTCAAACCCCGCTTATGAAAATTTTCTCCCACGAATACACACGAGTGTTCGTTGAACAGCATTTTCCCCTCCAACGCCTCATCTTAAGAAAAAAAAAAAGAGTATTTGGGAAGTGTTTCTGCCAGACAAGTGCAATCCTCATGCGGCTTGTTATTCGCGTTTTCTTTTTTTGAAGACTGTGTTCGCCACTTTTCAATCGAGAATTCTATAAGTCACGCTTAATCCACATGCCGTCGTTCCTGACCAAAATGTGGTAGGTGCACGACGATAATGCTAGGAAACGCACGCAAAATAGATGAGGGTTGTTAATTGACGTGGAACGAAAATGCACCCTTTTTACCCGTTCTTTTGAATTTTCTCACGCGACTCCGCACGATGTGCGTGTCAGTCGCAACGCCGTTGGGCAGTGGCGTAGCCAGGGTGTAGAATACAAACTCGTGATGATGCCCTCCCCACCCCTCCGCTTCCTACGTTCCGAAATCTTTTTTTCGCCATCGCATGCAGAGCGAAAAATTACCATCCCCCCCCCCCCCCCCCGAAAAAAAATTCTGCTTACACCTCTGCCATTGGGCGGCGTATATGCAAAAAAAAAAAATAATTGCACCGACTACCTAAGGGATTGCAACAATCAAAAATAATATCGGGACTTCAGAATCCCATCTTGGTAAAGAGGACAGGTTACACAACACGACAGCACGCGGATTGGTGACACGCTGGGTGAAGATTGTATACTTTCGTATCCTGCTCAGAACCAGAACGCCATAAATATCACAGCAGGTCTTCTGCTAATGATGTCGCCGGTCTCGTAGTTGATACCTGCCAATCAAGCGGAAACGCACAGGTCAGCGTGATACTTCGTGTCACAAAGACATGTAAGAAAGCGTGCAGCAACTGGTGCGTGCACAGATAGCCTGCGCGAACCCACAGCCTTGTGATTGGTCTTACCGCGGTGACTCGGCAGTCACGTCGTTCCGCCGTTGATAAGGTGATAAGATATGAAAAAACTATTCATGTCGGTCGGGGCGTGAACTAGCACGTAGCGCGTCGCTCTCACGTCGGGACAGTTAGGCCTAACCTCTCCGACACATCGTGGGCCCGTTGGACTGCCTATAGCTGCGTCCTTAAATCCGTACTGCGTAGCGCAGCGTCCAACTTGGACGGTGTAACGTTTTTGACCCGTAACGCCGGGCACCGCCAGAGCAAACGATCAAGGCTGGCAAAGTCTGTGCAAAGCGCGCATGTGTTTGACGTGCAAAGTCTGTGCAAAACGCGTAGCATGTGTCATTTTTGTTTTTATTTTCAGTTTCGTAGCAGTGCACAGATCTAACATGCCTTTTTCCTTTGTAAATGTGACCTTGTATGTATATTTCTATGCTCCCCCCCCCCCTTATGTAATGCCCAACCCAGGGCCCTTAAGGGATAATAAATGATGATGATGATGACGTCTGCATTTCTGGATAAATTTTTTGTGCAAGAGTGCGGGACTGGGACTATGCCCCGACCTGCAACACAGCTGAGGCCCGAGAGTTTCCCTGCCATTCGCAGAACTTGTGGCTGCAGTGGGCTGTATAAACTCCCTTCAGACTCCCGAAAGGAAGCCTTTCATTGTAACTGCACCAGAATTAGGATTCTCATGTGTGCCCCGACCGCTTTTGTGTCATGTGCAGAGACTGCGGCTGCAGTAACTGTACGAACTCCCCTTAGGCTCTCTAAAGGGAACCTATACAATAACTCTACAACTAGAGTTTCAAGTTCGCGTCGAACGGGTGGTGTACTGCGCAAGCACGAAGGTGGGATGAAGAGGCACAAGGAAAAACCTCCTCCTTGCTTGAGCAGTTTACGTCTCCCGTTCATGATGAACCAACTGGCGTGTAAGCTGGTCATTTTGTAGGGTTGGGTGAGCAGTGATTTAGTTGAAACACATCGAGTTGAATAGTTCGAATGGTATACATCACATACTATATTAAAGAAATTAACATTTTTATCAAAATTCAGCTAACCTGCACCATAATTTTAAATAATCGCAACTAGACATGAGTGAATGCCACTTTTTTTTTGGTTCGAAGTGCAGTGGAACCAACATTGAATACCAGAAATGGCATTATGGTGCTTGTTATATTTGGTACAATTCGTTACATTGAAAAATTACTATGCTTAGCGCATATGTGCAAGTATAACACGACTTTAAGCTTTGAAAGTAATTAATTTAGGTGAAGGTAATACGTACATTTACCAAGAAGAGTGACATCGTGGCAGCACGGATTTTCTCTGGACAGGTGGTTACATGGCATAGTAACCCCAAACTGGAGTGTAACTGCCTTTACAGAGGATTCATGTACCCTGAAATGTTCGTCCATTTTCGAGTACTTCGAAATTTCGAATAACTCAAATTCGTGCCGAAAGCGAATTCGAATACTGCAATAGTGACGCGAATATTCGTATCGGCCGAATATTCACCCACCTCCGTATTATTGCTTTCGTGTCACGTGCAGAAGCTGTGGCAGGCGCTGAAGTTTGGGCTGGAAAGCACCCTGCAAGAGCGATTCAACCGCGAGGTGGCGCAGGCCTGGTTCCTGGTGTTCCGTTTCCTGTCCCGCCGCATCATCGAGGGCATGCACAAAGCCAGGGCGGCGGCGCCTCCACCTCAACAACAGCAGCAGCAACAGCCGCAGCAGCAGCCACAACCGCAACAACAGCCAGCGCCAACCTAGCCCCGTGCCAACTGCCAACGCACTAAGAAAATGCCAAAGAACGCAAGGCTTGCACGCTTCGGAAGCTGCAACGGTGTGCAACAGTCTCCGGTGGCTGAGCAAGGTGGCCGCGCAGACGACTCTTGCTTCTCGGATGAGCCTGTTTGTCGGCCACCGTACTTGTGTGCGTCAAATCTAGCCAAATCCGCCTTTTCTCATTTTACTAGGCTGTTATCTGCTGTTTCAGTAAATGACAGCTCAAAACGAAATCATCGAAACGAAAGCCTCCGAGATCAAGAGGCCTTTTGAGTCTTTTATGCTAAAGGAAGGGTACATGTGCCATGAAAAAGGCGGATTGAGCAAGTCAACCTCGCTGCCCTGACCTCACTGCCCTGTCCGTTAACTTGCACTGAGCAGCAATCGGAAGGTTTCACAAGACATTGCTAACAGAGTAATAACAGCTTCCAGAATTGTAATAGTAATGCTGTTATTTTTAGCATGCCTTCAGAACACAATCATGATAACTGTGGCGAAGCAATGCACAACTTTCTCCAGCAATACGCTGTACAGATAATCCTTGCAGATTCTTATAACAGCTCGTAATGTCGTAAAAGAGCAGAAATAATGTATTGTGTTCTACAAAATGAACTGTAACTGAATCGATGGGCGCGATAGTGGTACTTTAAGATTCAATTTCAGAGAACATAGGGTGTTTTTGTGCTCAACGCAATTAAATATGCATACACAAGCGACCTTGTTTTCAATAGCTGGGAGCCATAACAGTAAGTTCGAAACACCTGCGCGATGATAAAAAAAAGAAGCTAAATCTGGTGTGTAGCTTGTAGTGTGTATGATGGTGGCTGTATCGAGCATAGCTTGGGTACTCAGCAGAATGCTCCTTCAATCATTATGCCAAATGTGCGAATGCAGGATTGGAGATTACAAGCAAGCCTGCACGACAATCTTCTATGGTTCCAGCTCATCACTAGGTGATGCGCAGGTGGAATTGGCTTCAAGGTGCTTAGCAGCCACGTCTGCAAAATGAGCTTGCAAAATGTTTTGCCATTGTATGTTTAGAGCAACAATCAACACAGTCAGCTGCTACAAGTTCTTTCTCAGGCGTGCTGGCTGACAGCACATCAATAGCGTGAGCAGCCATGACATTTGAATGGCGCACATTTTCTATCAGGCCAGTTTGATGACGAATCACCACAGGCACACAGGTTGAGAACATTGACGTGATTTCAACAAGTACCCTCTTTTGTTTTCTTGTTCATGCAACCACATCAACATTCGGGGTAACAGCACAAGGGCATATTCAGCAGTACATGTTCAGTGTACTCGAGCTTCAATTCAGCCTTGCACTGTGATCTGGTTGTGCCCGAGTTAGCTAATGTTGTGAGGCAACCACCCCGAAAAAGCATTGGTCTCAGCTTCAGTGCGAGTATCAGGATGAATGCACCATTAATTGTGAGGATTTATCTTCGTAACTTCGTGTCACTGGGATGGCAAGTGCATAGCAATTATCCTTCCACAAACGTTTCTTCGATTTGCAGGCTTCTGACGCTGTTGAGCTACATTCAGTAGCCGTACCTTTCCGTTAGGCTGCTCAGCTCAAGGTAGCTCCGTCATTCTGGCCAACTCCTCAACTTGCACAAACGCCTTGACGCAGTTCTTGGACACACTACAGTACGATGGCCGAAATTGTGCTGCCATCTGGTGAACTGAGGCTGACATACAAGCGGGTAACACAGGTGGGCATTCAGCGCGTGCACTCTGATCCACGTCCTTTTGTCTCCCTTGTGTCTCAGCGCTGAAATGCCGGAGCGCCACTGGCGCCAAGACGGGCAGCTCGAAGTATGTGTGCCCTGCCTTTGTACGAGTGTCCGCGGCATCGCGTCACGCCAGTGACACCGTGGGCGTATCATGTCAGGTGCACTTTCATGTAACATGCGGCAAAGGAGGTGTACACGTGTCGCGAATAGGCGCGGTGTCCATGATTCGCACACTCGCCAAACCCTGCAGCTATTCTGCCGTGCTGGTGCTCTTTTCATTTTTTTCGTTCCTGTTCCTCACCCTCATGCGACATCATAGCGATTTAACGTTCACCAGAGTTTTGTAAAAAAAGCTAAGGGAACATTGTTGTTGTTGTATGTGCTGTATGACTGTGTTACGCTTGTCGTCTGGTTTCTGCGTATGATTACACTGGTGTGCGTATGTCAACTGGCTTCGTGCGATGACAGGATGTGTTAAAGGCTGACTGCAACAAAGTTTTTAAAACTTGAAAAGCCTTGTTATTGACAATTTAAGAGAAAAGTGGGCCTTTCCAGCAAAATTTAAAACTAGCAACAGGTGAACACATCAGCAGTTAGAAACTAGCAAATGGCACACAAATGTAACATTAACAACTGAGAATCAAAGGTTGTGGCAATCAAAGTGTTCAGGGAGCAACGATCGAGCTTTAGTGAGTAGGTGTAATCATTGTGTGAGCAAGGTTCTGGAACATGCGTTGTATCTGCTCAGCCTTGGACGAGACTGCCGTCTGCTAAAATGCTGCACTGTCTGCTAAGGGCTTGTTTAAAGGTCATTGAACCGTAGCAAAACATCAGACAACTAGCAGCACTGCTGGATTGGCAAGATTACCTACTCAGGTGGCCACATTCATACTCATCAATAACCAATTTAGCACAAGAGAAATTTCGTTGCAGTTGGTACTTACTGCCGCAAGGAAGCTGCTATCACATGTTGTAGACATGTTGTAAACCACCTTCGTACTGTATATGTGAAGGGTGCTAGACAAAAAGGTCGTAGGCCAGCTTAATCATTACCTAAGGTGCCATGCAGGGTCAACGCTTGGAAAGGCGTTAGGTCCTGACACCGCACCACAGGTTTCCTAGTGAACATGTCAATTGGAAAAGCTGCAGCGGCACCCAAAACATTTACAGCGTGAAATATACACGGCATGATCAAAATGTGCACAAGCAGAACCAAATTACCAAGCTGTGGCAATCACCAGCAGAGGGTTTGTATGTACCTGATGAAAGAAACCTTAAGTCCACCACCTTCTCGATTGCGGTAGAGAACCTGGCAAAAGAAAGTGCCGTCTACAGAAAGAAAAAAAAAGGAACATTTGTTTCTTGCGTATTTATAGATGCGAGCACTGTGAGAAGAGATATAACTACTATATAGTGCACCAGTACTACTATTTTGAAATGCCTCAATGTCTACAAAGTATATGACCAAATACCGACCATAATAACGACACAAGAGCGCACAAAAATTAATGTTTCGCACGACATACCAAAGATATGTATTCTGAATAAAAGCATAGAGAAAAAGAAATTGTGTTCAGTGCGTGTGGGTGTGAATTTACCATTGGGTGAATGCTTTTGTAGTGTCCCCTTTAGCAGCCGCGGTGGTCTAGTGGCTAAGGTACTCGGCTGCTGACCCGCAGGTCGCGGGTTCATATCCCGGCTGCGGCGGCTGCATTTCCGATGGAGGCGGAAATGTCGAGGCCCGTGTGCTCAGATTTGGGTGCACGTTAAAGAACCCCAGGTGGTCAAAATTTCCGGAGCCTCCACTACGGTGTCTCTCATAATCATATGGTGGTTTTGGGACGTTAAACCCCACAAATCAATCAATCCCCTTTAGCATGAGAATTTAGCAGTGACAGCCATACAGCTGTAGTCATTAACCATCCTAGTGGAAAAGTACTACATGCATTTCAGCAATTTCATATGTTGCCAGAAAGATTGTTACGGCTATTCAATAGAATTTATGCGGAGTCCACACATTCTTGTTAACATTACACGGAAATCACGGACTCAATTGGAATGGCATATGGGAATTTCAATAAGGTTGGTTGCCATTACCTGAGTTCAGACTATCCACAGAGGCGTGATGCTGGCTGTCTGATGCCGCTAGTGAAGCTGGCATGTTTATTTAACGCAACAACAATGGCCATCACTTTTTTCCGAGGCAGGCTTTCATGGCGTGTTTTCCAATAGCTGTGAGCTTGCCCTTCTTCAAGGGGCCTTGCACCCGTATTTTACCCATAGTATTCTGCATTACATTGCGTTCCTCCTGTAGTCCGGACGTTAAGTGGGAATAATTATGAGCACTTGTTTGGGAGGCAGCTTACTTGAAATGAAAAGGAAAGACCAAAAGAGTCTTACCCTCTCAAGTTTCACGCTCTCAGCTATTATTTCAACTGCTTCCAATCAAAGCAATGCCATCATTTGTCCATAGCAGAAGCTGTCATCTATTGCTGCCTTTCTATGACAACCAGTTGCCGCACTTTCCCCATCGACACTACTATACCATATTTACTCACGTAATGCCTGCACCACTGAATTCCGTTACCAAAATTGTATGCTATTTTTTTTTCAGTGTAATTATTGCATCCCCAAACATGCCACCGAGGAGTTGACAGATATGCCTGCTATGAAGCCATGTTTATTTTTGTAGATGAGCAATGCGAGAAACATCATGGAGGCATCTTGTTTTTTTTGTGTTGCCATCAATGTAGTTAAGGCTATTGAGTGTGCACTTGAGCACACCACTGTTCTACATTGTTTTTCTAACGTCGACATTTGATTCACTGCCTTATGAAAGAGCAAGAACCCACGCAAGCACAAAGAACTGTGGGAAACAGAAAATATGCAGTGTCAATGCTACCAGAAGCGGAACCGTTATGTCATGAAACGCAGCGTGTAACCCAAGACAAGTGGCTTTGCTTTGCTAATGCTAAAATGCCAATGAGGCATGGGATTGAAAAATGTGTTCCATTTGCTTTGCTCCTGCCCAATCATTGAATCATGGAAGCCTCGCAATAAGCTCTTGCTCTCTATCACCACTCACGAATACACCAAGTTAGCACTTAGTTCTCAAGATTCTGGTCTCCCTGTTGAAAATTGTTACACGATAATGGGTCAGCATTGTAATTACCCAGCAAAATATTGAATACATTTACTTTAGAGCATCTAGTACCGTTGTGGTAAGCAAAAGCCGAATACCTTCGGTTGTACAACCCACTGCACAATCTTGCTCGTGTGGATAACAATGCCGACACACACGACTCTCAGAATTACAGCAGACGTTGCATGTAAGGTTTATCAATATTCCGGAATAAGCTGCACATAATGTTAGAAAGACAATAAAGAGAAAAATAACTTTCTTGCATCAGTAAATTAACCTTTCATGACACAAAAATGTCATACTTGTGGCGAGAAAAAGTTTGGTAATGGAGGAAATGTCCAAGAAGAAAATGTGGGTGGAAGCAAGACTTGGAAGTTCTCGCACCAGCCTCTGTGATTCCACAGACTTCGACAGCATCCACTAAAGCCAAGGTTGTTTCTAATCAGTAAAAACGAAGTATGTACGTTGTATTGCAAAAGAACCAGGGATTCAACCTACCAAGTTTTGGGATGTCGCCATCGGAGATTAGGCCGAAAAAGTTTAAAGTGGTACCTTCGACATTGATTTTCTTAACTGTTACTTAACCTATGGTGGTAAAAATTATCATACTATAGTTTTAAGCATAGAGTTTATAAGTCTAAGCTAATCTGCTGTTTTACTTTAGTGTCTCATTAAAGGGACTCTACAACACTTTTGCCAAGTAACCATCGAATGTGTTCATACGATGATTACTTGGACAGTTCACTGCCTCGTGAACCGACCAACGCAAATTTTTAAATGTTCGTCAAGTACGAGCCGAGTTGCAGAGATTCGTCACATACTGCAACTGCTTCCCGTCTCCTCTTGTACCGACGAGCACACTGGAAGCTTAGCAGGGAGAGATGGCATGGGCAAAAAACAGGTTGCCATGCATGCATCACGACTTTCGGTGCTTTTCCCTTTTTGTTTTTATTTTTTTCCCGAACGTGCGCGGCTCACTCCGTGTGATCATGAGTGGGCATGTTGTGGCCTACGTAACTATGCTACAATGCTCAAATCAGCCAATGGCCGTGAATTTCGGTATACAGCCCCATTCGTTAAAAAAGGGGGAATAATTTTTAGCTGGCCTTGAGATTTAGTTATAAACTCCTGGCAACGCGCTACGCTAGCGCATTCTCGGGAGCCTCGTCTACTGAGCGACAGTGTTTTCCGACCATGCTGAAAAAGTGTTGCAGAGCCCCTTCAAGGGTTCTGGGGGACATAATAAATACAGACTTTGCTTCTAAAGGATGCTACGACAAAAGGAGAAAAAGACACACAGACATAATCCACATATGTACCTGTATTTGGTGCACCTCAGAAATCGTCAATTTACAGAAGCACAGAAAACAGTTCCCAAGTGTATCCACGTTACTTCAATGTGGATGGGACCGATTGCCCGGCTTGCAGTCATCTTGTGCTGCACCGCACAGCAGTTGCCAATGCAACCACCCACCTAATGGAGGCTTTCGTGGTCACCCTAGCGACAACTAGCCATGATGGCTTCGACACCTGCACGCAGATACAAGAGGGGGGTAACAATTACACATTAACTAGTAAAATAGTTAGTAGGATATGTTAAATTGCACACTTATTCACAAAGCCAAAGAAAAGATGAATGCGACAGTAAGTTGAACACGCAGTATCAATGCCACACGTGAAATGTCAATATCATCCGTGAGCATTTCTAGGTCTGTTTTACGCCTACTACGTGAAGGCCTTCTACAGCAACCTGCACTTTACCCTGTCATGAGCCGGCCAACTCTGTATCATACACTCAAATCTCGTTATAACAAAGTTGCATTGTAAACGAAAATGAGTTTGTTATATCCGGTAATTTGTTATAAAGGCATATTCCTAACACATATCTACAAGACTAATATTCATTTACTTTGTTATAACTGATATTTCGCTATGTTTGAGTTGGGTATATCAAGGCTTGAGTATAGCTGGAGATTTCATGGTTTTGTCACAGCTCATAATGCTCTGCCTCCGGTGTTTGCCTCCTAACCCTTCATTTGGCAGCCATTCTGCGGTCCTAACAGACTGGCAGTTATCAGCAGATCATGTGATGCTTAAAAATACATTTCAACATAATCTCGAACTTTGATAATCTGCTGGTGCTTAGTTGTCTCAACTTTTTTCTCAAAGTTATGAATCAATCAAAGCAGCAACAAGTTCTTATTTTGAACTGTCGGCCCACACCCAATTGCTTCATAATCCACAACGCTCTCTACCTTTACTATAAAGTTTTAAGTGTACTACAACTTTTCGTTTCAATGTTTGTGCTGACTCCAAACTTCCTCTGAACTTGCTTCAATAGCACCAAATATTTTGCTGTGCAGTAGACTGTTGGTAGACTGAAATCATTCACAGAATCGGCTACTTAAATTGCGTTTTAAGCTGGCTTGATATGGCTGGTTTCATACTTGAATTCTGCACCTTTGCTTAAGTCGCAGTGACCAGAACTTCTGTTAAACAGAACACATCTTCTTGGTTTCTTCAGGTTTCGTCCAATGAGAGCCTGCAGTATATGACACAACTACAGGCTCAGACACCAAGAACTAACTCTGGCCATTTCGTCCAGTCACACTCTCAATCGGACGACCACCATACTCACTCTCAAAGTCGATCTTCTCAGTGATGTTCTTGGTCTTGACAATTTCCTCCTGGTTGGCCACGAAAACTGAGCCATTAGCCAGGTCCTGCCAGCCATTGCGCTGGATCCACATCTGCAGCTCTGGACCTGTGAAGCATGGGCCAATGACGATTCACGATTTGCACGAAAAAGACCATCTCACTCTCTACAATACATGCGCTCAGGCATCCCAATAACATAACTGTGACAACACACCCTCCTCAGTACAAAATTGGCTGAGCAGCAGTGTCAGATTCCATGAAAAAATTTACCAGGACATTTAGGTTTCGAACCTGAAGCCACAACACAAACGTATTTTTATGGAAAAGTAAATCATCTGAAACACACTCCTGACGTCATAAAAATCTGTAAGCATGTTTAGACGAAGCATTTGTGCAGTTCTCTGCATAAGAGACAGCGATAGATGTTGCCGTTTTTTCTTGGGTTGCAACCGAATGTTTGAAGGGTAGCACAGCAAACACATCACTCACTTCTCTTCCTTGACATTAGCGCAGATATCTAAGAAAATAATGACAATATATGGGATAATACTGCAATTTTAATTTATTAAGGTGTCTTTGGGAAGACGTGCAAATGACGAAGATATGCCGCACATGAGGTGTCGCGCTGCGATAAGTGTAATTGCCCTTCCTCCTGTGACACTGTCACAAACTGACAAATTTCTCACCTAAGGCACACTTTCCTCAGTGATCCCAGCATACTTATTCGCTGGTAATCTTCCAGCTCCAACAATTATACTATTACTCACCGGTAACGTCGAGGAAGTCCGACAGCAGGGACTTGTCGATGTGCTGGTAGGTCATGTTCACCACATAGCAGACGACTGAGCATAAGATAATGGAGAATAGACATCGAACAAAGGAGGGCATTAAAAAACGGGAAATTCTTTAATATAAAGGCAGATTAAATAGCAATGCAACAAAGCACTTCAGCATTTCTACGCATTTTGTGAGCAAGAATGAAGTGTGCAAATATTTCAAAACCTCATATAGCATACTGAATAGTGTCCTATTTGATATCACGAATCGAACAACCCTTATTCGTAAACATCAATATTTTTTGAATATTTACAAATGTCAACTGTACCCGAACAGTACAAGATTGGTACACTGTTATAAAAAAGTTTGCAAGCACATCAGACCCATACTACATTTGTATATGCTAGCCATATAGCCGCTGCTGCTGCTCTGATGAGAGCGCAGATGTTATAGGACATTATATGTTGGTGAATCGTGGGCCTGGCAAGGCTTTCACGTTCTGCACTTAAATGCAACTTAAGATTTTTGAAAATGATCTTTGGTCCCTGAACTATTATCAATGAGCAATTCTGTTTCAGTTAAGTGAGGTAGGCAAAGGTTCAGTTAACTTTGAAACCAGCAGAGAAATAAGTACTTAGAAGTGAGACAGCACGGTTCAGCATTGTTTGTGCCAAATCATTGCTTCAGGTGAGTGCCTCTTTCGAAGAAGTGAACTGACTGTTCATGAACAGTAGAAGGTTGATTATGCAATGCAGGAAAAAAATTAAAAATGAAAAGGACTAAGAAATAAAACTAAAGAAAGCAGAAAATGTGAGAGCTATTTAAAACTTACACTTCCTGACAGAGTCGTTGAATCCATTGATGGTCTGCAGCAGTGGCTTGCCCTTTACTGCTCCCTGCACATCAAGAAACCATGCCTAAAACGTCCAGCAGCCATACAAAGATTTTGTTGTTTTCTGCGCAAAAACAATATGTTTGTTAGGCTGTAGTGGGAGGTTTCTGGATGAATTCAGAACACCTGACGCTCTTTCACATGCACATACAATCTCGGTGCGCAGCTGTTTTCGCATTTACCCCCAGCAATCTGTAGCCACCGTGGTCACCAATTGATCTTTTGCCCTCATGCTTGGTAGCACAGCACCCTAGCTATATTCTGTAGTGTGCGTTTGCTGGTGTTGTGGACTCATCACCCCTGTCTACTAAGTTACAATGGAGGCAAAAGGGAGAGAGAGAGTTTCCCATGAAGCATAAGTCTGTGTTATGTCATGAATGCTAATTATGTAGAGATCGATCTCGCTTACCCAAAATCTTTGGAAGTCACACATTTCCAGTAGGTAGTGCAGGTGCAGCGCCAGCTGAATGTCCTCGTTTGCAAGCTGAAAAAGGAAAAGACTTGGTGGCAATCACTATAGACATTTTTAACGTGGGCGCTGCCATATTGCCTAGCAGGAGGCGCTGTCCCTGGTCTGGCGACTCACTGGAGTGTACGAAGCTCCACCTTTCTGTGGAGGGTATTCGTACGGTTGCAGTAGCAGTCGCTTTTTTCGTTCTGGCACGCTGAATTTCATCTCAAATGAAGCAGTATAGGTAGCGAATGAGTCTGTGAGACATCCTGAAACGTTTTGATCCATTCGGGGTCAAATGGGATAATATGCGATGGTGCGAACATATCGCAACTGGTCGGTGCTATTTGTTTTCGGCACTTTCTGCTGGAAAAACGTACAAATATTTCAGCCTGTTCCAGCTCGGCAAGCTAGTGCTGCCAACCTTTGAGGATACAAAAGATTTTTTTTTCCCTGGACTGTAATATTTAAGTTTGTTTTTGCACTAGCGGTTCGTTTATGGTTCCTTAGCGACTACCACCTGTACATGCGATTGCGTGTGAGCGCGCAGTTGCGATTTCTTGGCGATGATGACATTTGTTTGTTGCTCACAAACTATCTTTTGCTTGACTTTTAATTACATCTTATAACTTGATCCTTTATTGTCCTGCGGGTTCAGACAAAATTGGTACTGTTTAAAGGGAGGTGCTGGCACACAAAAAGCGATGGTGATGTTTTCATGCCTGCACGCTTCTATTTTTCTTTTTAGAATCTTGGCATTTCATTAGATTGCAGCGTCGCTGTAGTGAAGACAGGTAATGGTACCCTATGAAAAGCTACGTCTACCCATTTTGGCCAAGGTACTTTGAAATTAAGTAGTTTCAAATTTACAGGTGGGTGTCACGATCTCAGTGAATGGGCTGAACATTCAAGCTGTTTGAGACACGTCAAGGCCCAATTAATGTGAGGTGCACATTATTTAGTTGAGAGCTCATATCGGTGATTTTGTATGGCAAAAGCCAAGACGTATAAAAGCTTAGTGAAATGTAGATACCATGCCCACATTGGCAACATCGTTTCCAAACGAATGGCTATGTCCATCTTATAAGAAGACCAAGACAGATAGACAGATAGGCGGCTATCATGCCGGTATAAAGTAAGAACACCATCGGCCTGCGTTGCTGCATGGTTATTTAAAGTGGGGGTATTTCTTCCCCACTGAATACCGAATACAATGAAAATGGTGATAAAGATTACTGCATCTGGTCCTGCCAACAATTTTGCTCATGGACAACATGAAGATGATTTCCCCTCGATTGGCGTGAAGAGACTGCCTTTCCGGAATGTGTGCGGATCGTTCGCAAGAAGGTGTCTGGTATCGTTTGACGTTTTCTTCTGGATAACGGTTTGAAGTGACACATGGTAAGATGTACTGCACGAAGAGAGTCACTTAGGCGGAGCAAATGCCGGCCAAGTATGCCACGCTAAACCCACCAACGGCAACATTATCACCGCCACAACGTACCACACTCAGTGTCCACATTTTTGCAGCTATACCTGGCGGTACTCTAAATGCAGCGTGCTCCTAGAAGTACAGACCTTTTCTTGGTCGATCAGACACTTGCAGAGCACGAAGTCTGTGTGAGGCAAGTTGGTAAGAGCCTTAAGTAGGATCGCGACGGCCACATCGTTGTTGAAGTTTACGGGGTTGAACTGGTACCTGCGAGATGTAGCACAAGCAACGAGGGTTGAGCAGTACTGAAGCACGCCGACCGCAGCGAATCGCAACTCTCAGCTTGACACACTCACAGCTTCAGCACTGCCAAGTTGGCCTCGAGATCGTAGACGTTTTCGCTAGCCTGGACTCGCACGTACTGCTCAAGCCTGACCAGGTTCTCGGGGTTATACCTGCGAACGGTTTGCGCAGGTTATAGGCCGGCCCCATATGTGCGGTCGATTGAAAAGACCGCAACTTGCCTGTCAATGCCTTTCAACATCTGTGCCACTTGGTGACGCATTGCTTCGGCGTGCGGCATACCCAGCGGCGGTTTCGTGTAGTCGGCGCCGAGAAAAGACATTGTTTCCGCCGGTAATCAACACGTGGCCCTCGGCTAACTACGATCACGGCAGGCGCGAGTTTCTTGACGCACAACACACGGTCGCCGAAAACCACGGGAAAAAAGAGATTGCTCAGCCGCAGTTGCGCTAACGAAGTGGTGTTAAAAAAGGTTAGTGCTGAAAACAAAGCAACGTACACGAAAAGGGCGTTGTGGAAAAGTGAGGTTAAATGCGATGACAGCGCTCTAGACTAATGATCTTCTTTTTTATGGTACTAATAAAAACAATTGTAACAAACGTTTTTTATTGTTGAAAAAAAAATCTTGATTTTTTAGTAACTCAAGAATGTTCAGGTTGTTTGTAAATTGTTTTTTGTTGTAAATGTTGTCGTAAACTTGGAGTAGCACTGTGGCGCTGCAAACGTCTTTTTTGAAGAGTTTCTACACGTTCGTGCAAAGCTCAACGTGTCTCTTTTTCTCACTATGATTTCTCACTCTTGTATTTGGTATTTAGCTGCGTGATTGAAACTCGAGTTTATGTTGAATATTACGGCGAATTTCAAAATCAAGTCTTGTAAAAAACAGCGCACAAACTTATGAATAATTTGAGTTGCGCATGCAGCGGGCATTTCCTTTTGATTTTCAAAATGATGTAGCCATGCAGCGGCCCTTCTTCGAACTAGTGACCGAGTTTCTCGGTAGAGCCGCTACGTGGCAGCTCTAAACAAACCTTTAATAGGTAGCGGGAACTTGAACGAAGGAATAGTTCATTTATTCGTTGGGGGTGTCATGCGGGAATAGTTATGAAGAGCAACTTTCTTGGTGCCATTGCTGTTATTCCGTAGCATGACCTCATGACAGCTGGTATACCCCTGTTTACCGAAAGCATACATGTATCAAAACCTTAATTTATATCGTAGTTTTTAATTTTGCTACGTCGTACTATCATTATAAAACTGTGCGCCATTTCGCAATTCTCGCCGCGTTTTCTGCTATATATAAAACTTCAGATCCTAACAGCTACACCATTAGTATTCATTGGCTTTGACTAGAACTAGTTTCCTACATGAAGGTCTCGTGTGGTGTTTCGTATATAGCGCAAACTGAGCGCTACTTGATTGAACATCACAGCTTTTGGAAAAGAACACCTTACACGTAGTTGTGTATGCACTGTAAATATTCCAAAATGTGATCGCAGCTGCTTATTGAAACTACGCAGATATTGTTTACCTTCGGGAACCGGTCGAAGCGGCCATAATTAAGAAGGAGAATAGCAAGTGTGTTAGATAGCCCTCGTTACATTTGGTGAAGACTGAGTGTGCACACCTTCTGGAAACACCTGATATAAATGAGAACTAACAGACAGTGATGCCAAGGAAAGTATATGCGATGTTATTAGAAGTAATTGTAGTGTAAATGTGAAGAACGAAAAGGGGATGAAAAGATAACTTGGTACCGGCAGCATCGGATCCTGCCGGTGGCATGTTATCGTTATATTTTCATGAATAGTGATGGACAACAGACAGGAAGGCAAGAAAAAAGGCATAAAAACCTGAGACACTCCTTAAAACCCAGAGAGTTAGCTGGCATTTCTTTAAATATCCCTTCTTCATAATAACGTTTCATTCGGGTAGCCAAAACATGCAGTAGGCCAAGTAATAGATTGATCTTGGTAGTTCTTTGGTCATCGCCCCGTCACGAATGGGAGGTGACAGCTGCGCAGTCCAACTCTTTGTCTCCATCCACCCCGCCATCGTTGGAATTTTTCGTTTCGAAGCCAGCCAGCCAGCTGCTGGTATATAGATCCTTTTAGTACCTTCCATCGCAGGGACAAACAGCACACTTTCTAATTCTGCCATATTGTCTAATTGTGTAATCACGACATTCTGAACCAATCAGAGTCACCCTAACAGATAATGATTATGATAATGATGCCACTGACAACTTTGAAGCGGGACATGGACCGATCGTACCGTATCGGGCCAAGAGGCTGCCCGAACCCACCAACTTTTGTCCCTTGTCCTCCTCTCTGAGTTATTGACCACGGTGACACTACTGCTAATTAACGTGAGCATAACATCTGCTTCAAACACATTAGCCTTTTTACGCTAAACCATTGACCCTTGATAGCCGCGTCGTCTGCTACAAACGAAACACAAAGGGTCAGAGGCCCGCGGCTTTGGCGACGGCGCGCGAAACACGACGAAACTCATTGCACGCGAGCACGATGCTGCGCATGCGTCGAACATCACGTGTCTCGTCAAGGCGCATGCGCATCATCGCGCACGTGGGGTGATGGACCCAAACCGTTTTCAGCTTTCGGAGTAGAGGGCGAGCATCGCGCGAAAGGCACCGCATAAACAGAACGGTTCGAGCGAGCGGTTCGTCAGGACCGAAGGTGTGGATAGAGTGCGCGGGAGTTGGCCGCGGACTCCGGTTTCACCGACTTCGTCGCAGCGGCGTACTTCTCGCGGTTCGTTAGCCCCGCGGTCGTCGGTGTTGGCCTCGAACAGTGATTGTGACGCTTCAACGAGGGGCGCACTTCGGCGAAACGCTGATCCGGCCCCGGAGGAGTTGCTTTTAAGCGTGACCGATAGCTCTGCTGTCACACTCCTCCATTTGCTGATCGCTTCGGATGAAACAACAGTTGGAAGAAGAGACTTCCAGCTTGAGCAACGTTGAATGGAGTGAGACAATTGTGTGTTTGTGGGCGTGCGTATACAACAACGGTTGTATAAGAGTGTCGTCTCCTGCAGCTTATGAGTGCGCGACGCGAAGGAAAAAGTCAGATCGGCAACTTTCCGGCGGCTTTCGAATTCCTTGCTAATTAGCCTGCCCCAGGTAAGTCAATTCTTTCCTTTCTTTTTTTTTCTTCGCTTTACCAAAAGCACTTCGGTTTTGTGTTCAAGACTTCGCACGCATTTCTCAAGTGTTTCAGCGTTGCGTGCATCTTTTTCTGCATCATCTGTCGTTTCTTTTTTTTTTTTTTGCACTGTTCTTTGAAGTATAGATGTCCAATTCACAAGCGCATTTGGTATTCAATCTTTTTTTTTTCTTTGTCGAATGCTTGCGATATCATAGTGTACTATATCTGTGCTGATCCTTCCATAAGTGAACGTGAAAACACAATAGCAAAGAATAGTAAATATGGTCTAACATACATACCTATTCAGCCAGTCGAGCGACAAATTGTGTCGCGTTACTGTTTCGTCTGAATGCATCGGTTGAAACAAACCGGAAGAAAGTTTACACTACTCGAAGAGCACGCTCGTTTGTCACCGATTGCGTCGATTCCGTTGCCAAAGTGACACCGTGCCCTGTATTACACGGTTTCCAAAAAAGGCGCCATCACCTGTCGCTCCTTATTATGATTAATAGGCATTGAAGCATTTGATTAATAGGCATTAATAGGCTTTGAATAGAAACCATGGCAGAACCACGTAAACGTCAGCGTGATGAACAAGAAGACGAGGTACCGCTATATTACCAATTGGAAGTGCTTTTTGGTGACGCCGTCTATATTCCCAGGGACAAACTACAGAGTTTATTGGTTCGAGCCACGAGAACCGTGCCTATGACATTAATGAAACCATGGCGACACTTGCGGAGCCTGATCGAGGCGTGGGAGAAGTATCAAATTCAAATGTGCCCGAACGAGGAACAGGGTCTAGAGGAGATGGAAAAAGTTTACAATCCCCTCCACGCTGGGCATTGCAGTTACACTCAATTCCAAAACGAAGAAAGCTTGTGCACGATGTGTTTCCCGCTCGAGACGACGGAGAAGCTCAGACAATTTGTAATGACATTATCAGAGGATTCGAACAAGGACCCACCCAGTACGGAGTCGCAGCCGTCGCACTCCACACACGAGGAACCACCCTACCACACGTCCACGTCCTACACGACTGCAGCTGGAGCAACGGCACATGCCGATGTGTTATTTTCGCTGGCTTCGTCAGACGACTAAATCGCTCGTCAATTTGGTCTACAAACGCCAGCGCATGGGACCTCTACAATCTCGTCCAGTATCTCAATAGTCAGCCCCGACTATTGGAATACCTTAAAGTGGGAGGAAGCGATTGGGGTCGCGACATTAGAAATGAAGTTTTGGGACAATTCCAAGGTCCTGGACACGAGCCCGGCCGAGTTTTGGAAATACTGCACCCGAAACTTCCGCATTCAGTTGCATGTGACGACGCCCATGGAGGTCAGACGAGCGGTGGAGACGCTGACAAAGTATGCACAAGAAAGGGTACAAAGTGCCGAAAACGTGCAAAAGGAGCGTCGGAAGAATCCATCTACGACTGGCCACGCGAAAACCCCGTATCGCCGTTGACCAACATTGTGCGCACCCCCAAGTGGCTGGCCGACCCGGTATTTCGATTTATTCGCCTGGACGACAAGCGCCTTCAACGCGCCATTCAAGTGTTTAACGATGAGATGTGTTCGTACTCCACCCTCGACTTCATTGAAATGTACAAGAACACGCAGCCACTCTTTGACGCCCCACATGGCAACCTCGCTACCTTTTACATGGATGTGCCCGCGTCGTTTGATGCCATGATGGAACTTTTAAATTTTCAGTTTTACGGCATCCACGAGGAAGTGTCGGCTTTTGTCAACAACTTGTACAGCCTGGTCGAGAAGGCGATCCCGAAAAAAATTGCATGGAAATCGTGTCCCCTCCGAGTGCAGGCAAAAACTTTTTTTTCGATCCTGTTCTTTCATTTTACATTAACCACGGTACCATTCGCAACTTTAACCGCTACACTAGCTTTCCACTACAGGACACCGTGGGCCGTCGCATCCTGGTATGGAACGAGCCAAACTGTGAGTCATCCGCTTTCGATACTGTCAAAAAAATTTTTGGTGGTGACGTAGACTCGGTGGCTGTCAAGTATACTGCTGACCAGACCATTTCCAGGACACCCGTCATTGTGCTCTCAAACAACGAGGTGTTTCCAGATGACGAGGCCTTCAACCACCGCATGTGGCGCTACAAGTGGCGGGCGTGTCCTCCACTGAAGAAATACAAGAAAATTCACCCGATGGCCCTGGTGCTCCTTTTTGATACGTTTGTCATGGAAGAAACATACGTCGGCACGCATCAGCTTCATCAATAAACAGTTTTTCAACCTAACATCCTGAGTACTTGGTCAATGCTTTGCATTTTCCGACTACATCGACAACGACAAGCGCGACAGCTGTCAGTCAGTCAGTTCAGTCAGTCGGTCAGTTCAGGTCAGTCAGTCAGTTCAGGTCAGTCAGTCAGTTCAGGTCAGTCAGTTCAGGTCAGTTCAGTTCAGCTCAGTAATAGGCGCGCAAAGTTTGGAGTTGGCATTTTTCGACGCTGACGTTAACTCAGGTTAAGCTATTTTAAAACTATCTAACATGGGAGGAATCTCAGTCTACGCAAACTTCTGCACTACTGTAGTACTAATAATAAATAACGAGCACTATTGGATTGTTTCTCAGGCTTTCCTTATTTCAAGGAACTCTGTGTGTTAGTACAGTGCCAGGTAAGCTGACGTCTCCATGTTAATTCACAAGCAAGCAATTAAATGTTTATAAAACAGAGCAGATATATTAATTTCTATTCACTGGAATCACTGTTAGGAATGATTTATTATGGGATGTACCAGATGATGACGACTTATCTGACGTGTACAATAAGCAGACTGAGAAAAAAAAAAGAAACCGGGAATCGGTGACAATATGGTACGACGATCTGTTATTTTATCGATGCCGCTCATCATTTCAAGTTGCCGCATTTCGTTGCTGCCTGGCTATGAACGCATGACCGTCGTTTTTCGCGCGCGGCAACTGCGTTGTTGCGTTTTCGAGCGCGTGGATGGAAGTACGGTTTCCGGCAAAAAAGAAGGAAACTGTTAAGAAGGCGAATTGCCCGCAGTGATCAAAGAAATAAATAACAAGTATACAGTACGTCACGCATGCAGACACAATGCTTAACGCTTGCTCCTGTTTTCCGATACAATGGAGCGGAAATGTTGTCGGCCACATATCAATCAATCAATGTTTTCCGATACAAGTGGCGGGTTCGATCCACGGCCGCGCTGGGCGCAATTTGACGGAGCCGAAGTGGTAGAGGCGCGTCTCTAATAATCATATCTTGGTTTTGGGGCGTCATAAACTAGATATTTTGCCTATGTAGTTCTTCCTGTATTATTATTATTATATTATTATTATTATTATTATTATTATATTATTATTATTATATTATTATTATTATTATTATTATTATTATTATTATTATTATTATTATCATCATCATCATCAATGCAGCAAGATCTCCCGAATTTTGTGGCTCAAAAGCAGACGAAATGACAGACAGTCAAGCAAGGAAATCACACGGAGGAACTTAAACCATCGTGGATAATCGAAACGTACAAAAGGAGCGTCGGAAGAATCCATCTACGACTGGCCACGCGAAAACCCCGTATCGCCGTTGACCAACATTGTGCGCACCCCCAAGTGGCTGGCCGACCCGGTATTTCGATTTATTCGCCTGGACGACAAGCGCCTTCAACGCGCCATTCAAGTGTTTAACGATGAGATGTGTTCGTACTCCACCCTCGACTTCATTGAAATGTACAAGAACACGCAGCCACTCTTTGACGCCCCACATGGCAACCTCGCTACCTTTTACATGGATGTGCCCGCGTCGTTTGATGCCATGATGGAACTTTTAAACTTTCAGTTTCACGGCATCCACGAGGAAGTGTCGGCTTTTGTCAACAACTTGTACAGCCTGGTCGAGAAGGCGATCCCGAAAAAAAAAATTGCATGGAAATCGTGTCCCCTCCGAGTGCAGGCAAAAACTTTTTTTTTCGATCCTGTTCTTTCATTTTACATTAACCGCGGTACCATTCGCAACTTTAACCGCTACACTAGCTTTCCACTACAGGACACCGTGGGCCGTCGCATCCTGGTATGGAACGAGCCAAACTGTGAGTCATCCGCTTTCGATACTGTCAAAAAAATTTTTGGTGGTGACGTAGACTCGGTGGCTGTCAAGTACACTGCTGACCAGACCATTTCCAGGACACCCGTCATTGTGCTCTCAAACAACGAGGTGTTTCCAGATGACGAGGCCTTCAACCACCGCATGTGGCGCTACAAGTGGCGGGCGTGTCCTCCACTGAAGAAATACGACAAGAAAATTCACCCGATGGCCCTGGTGCTCCTTTTTGATACGTTTGTCATGGAAGAAACATACCTCGGCACGCGTCAGCTTGATCAATAAACAGTTTTTCAACCTAACATCCTGAGTACTTGGTCAATGCTTTGCATTTTCCGACTACATCGACAACGACAAGCGCGACAGCTGTCAGTCAGTCAGTTCAGTCAGTCGGTCAGTTCAGGTCAGTCAGTCAGTTCAGGTCAGTCAGTTCAGGTCAGTCAGTTCAGGTCAGTCAGTTCAGGTCAGTTCAGTTCAGTTCAGTAATAGGCGCGCAAAGTTTGGAGTTGGCATTTTTCGACGCTGACGTTAACTCAGGTTAAGCTATTTTAAAACTATCTAACATGGGAGGAATCTCAGTCTACGCAAACTTCTGCACTACTGTAGTACTAATAATAAATAACGAGCACTATTGGATTGTTTCTCAGGCTTTCCTTATTTCAAGGAACTCTGTGTGTTAGTACAGTGCCAGGTAAGCTGACGTCTCCATGTTAATTCACAAGCTAGCAATTAAATGTTTATAAAACAGAGCAGATATATTAATTTCTATTCACTGGAATCACTGTTAGGAATGATTTATTATGGGATGTACCAGATGATGACGACTCATCTGACGTGTACAATAAGCAGAATGAAAAAAAAAAAAAGAAACCGGGAATCGGTGACAATATGGTACGACGATCTGTTATTTTATCCATGCCGCTCATCATTTCAAGTTGCCGCATTTCGTTGCTGCCTGGCTATGAACGCATGACCGTCGTTTTTCGCGCGCGGCAACTGCGTTGTTGCGTTTTCGAGCGCGTGGATGGAAGGAAGTACGGTTCCCGGCAAAAAAGAAGGAAACTGTTAAGAAGGCGAATCGCCCGCAGTGATCAAAGAAATAAATAACAAGTATACAGTGCGTCACGCATGCAGACACAATGCTTAACGCTTGCTCCTGTTCTCCGATACAATGGAGCGGAAATGTTGTCGGCCACATATCAATCAATCAATCAATGTTTTCCGATACAAGTGGCGGGTTCGATCCACGGCCGCGCTGGGCGCAATTTGACGGAGCCGAAGTGGTAGAGGCGCGTCTCTAATAATCATATCTTGGTTTTGGGGCGTCATAAACTAGATATTTTGCCTATGTAGTTCTTCCTGTATTATTATTATTATTATTATTATTATTATTATTATTATTATTATTATTATTATTATTATTATTATTATTATTATTATTATTATTATTATTATAATCATCATCATCAATGCAGCAAGATCTCCCGAATTTTGTGGCTCAAAAGCAGACGAAATGACAGACAGTCAAGCAAGGAAATCACACGGAGGAACTTAAACCATCGTGGATAATCGAAACGTACAAACACTAAGCATATGTGGTCATCAACATTCAGCAGTGCCGAACGTAGATTCATGGCGCTGCGCGTGAAGTGCCCCGCCCAACGTAGTTTCGACATTTCAATTATGTAGGCGTAACAATTAACTTCCCCTGCCAATTTAGCGGTTTGCGTTGTCTGTCACTTCGTGTGGTGTTGACAGGTTAGTGTTAACTGAAAATAAACGCTGTCAATAATAGGAGGACCTAATTTACTGCTTGCTGAAATTTACGGGCTGTAAAATTCCATAAATATACTCAGAAGTGCGTGCAAGGTACTGTTGATATATCGATTGGTTGTCGACGTAGAATCGTGTCACGAATTCCGTGTGCTTTGTTGCAGTATGCATTAGTTTTGAAGAAATTGTAAAAGTTTGAAGGGAAAAGCGAAGAGAGCTCGATATGTTGAAAGGAGACTGTAGCAACAGGTGTTTCTCCTCCCTTGGACATTTGTGAAGAAAGAAGTTAGCCGTCTGAACCGAAATACCTCGTTATGACGTTGAAAAAAAAAGAAGAAAAAAACGTCTAACCGCACTTTGCGTCAAACGCTGATTAGCCCACGATAAGCACCGAACTACGGAGAACAAGAAGACCTACAACTGCACACAAAGACGCCGATTCACATAGGAAGATATAGCTAAAAGCCAGAAAGTGTTGCATGGGTAGCTCCTCACTGACTCATTGTGAAACACTGGCAGCGCAAACTTATGGGACACAGAGAGAGCGGGACACAAAGCGCGGATTGATACTGATTTATTAACGGAAGTCGCTCATTGCTTCGCCTGCAGTCTACTTTCACAGTGAATAGCATCTGCCGTTTTTTTTTTTCTTTCCCAAGGTGATAACATGCCGACCACTCCAGCAAACATTCTGGCTTTCGTTCGGGAAAGTATTTTTTTCTTTCTTTTTAAAAACAAGAATTGACCGTAACCATGGAACGTATAAAAGAGCTTGATTGGGATGCACGGTCATCAAGGAGGTCAAAAAAAGATTGGGGTTCTTTGACTGCTCACTTTAGAAACAACCGGTTTTCAGCCCACCCTCCTCCTTCCCCCCTAAAAAGAAGGGCTTTCTAAAGAACATCATTTGCGTCCAAAAATGACTTCTGAACTTCGATAAAAAAATTGGGGGACCTTTAAGCTTTGCCTTTAAGAACTGAACGCGATAGCGAAATCCGGCCCCTAGTGCGCGCCCTTCAACCGCTATGTGCACACTTATTAATGTGGTTTGTTACACACACACACGCACACAGTAGATTGTACCAGTGTGTGCACGCAAATGGTACATACAGGTTTTTATTTTATTTAAAGCAAGAGTCGCATGGCCTCCAAGATACACGCCGCGCGCTTGCCATCTCGGAGGCCATAAGGAGTCTCACAATGCCTCACAGATAGCAGCACAATATCTAGCGTTTGCTGTTTGCTTGATCAACGCCTCTGGAAAGGCATGGTATGTTTTCCGCTAGATGGACATAGTTGTCCATTTTCATAGCTGTTTGAAAGTTGCTGTGTGTTTTTAGCGACGATGGCTGCACTGTCCTGGCCTTTTACGACGTAGTTTGAGGCTTACCAAATGCGCCTATGAATAGCCGAATGGGCTGGTTTTCGTCGTGACTCCTGTCGAACAAAACGCGTTAAAGGGGCCCTGAAACACTTTTTCAAGTAACCATGAAATGAATTCACTAGGAGAGCTTATTGCCTCACGAATTCAACGCTGCAAAAATTCTAAAAATCCGTCCAGTGCGAGTGGAGTTGCAAAGGTTTGTCGCATGCTGCAATTGCACTATTTCTTCTCTCGTTCCGACGAAAGCGCTGGAAGCTGAGCAGGGAGGGGTGGCCGGGCAAATAAACTACCGTGCCTCGTGACTTTTTTTTTTAGGATGATAGTCTTTCTTGGGGACCTTCGACGCAAAAGTTTTGGTCTGTCTGTCTGTCTGTCTGTCTGTCTGTCTGTCTGTCTGTCTGTCTGTCTGTCTGTCTGTCTGTCTGTCTGTCTGCCCATTTGCCTGTTTATCCGCTCTTAACGGTACCTCCAACGGCACCAAAGTGGCCAAAAGATTCTCCAAACGGTCGACCCCATTTGCAGCGCCCACCAATACTGCTCAATATTCAGAGTTCATACTTGTGCGATTGTCAATTAAGAAGCAATTATTGCACATATATTTAACACGTCAATATTCTGTATGTGTGTCTCTTAATAGAAAAGGCATACATAAGTCATTCTAAGGACCGTATCGTTTATCACGTTGCGCTGATCATGCAACGCTTGCACCAAAAGGCAAGTGTTTCCAACGCTTTGCTAAGACGACACGGTGGTGGCACCTACCCGTCGCCTTGCATTCTACACCTTATCACCTTCGAGGCATGCGCGCAGGGCACACGCGCTCCGTTTTCCAAGATAACTGCCAGATAGCGCTCATGTCTCACGTGTGACGTGACTTGATGCGCTCGTTCGCCTCCGCTGCACGCTCGAGACACTCTAACGCAGCGGCTCCAGAATACCCTTCACCGATTTTCTTGCGCAGAATATCAAATAAACGTTTTGTTCACTCTCTCCATACCCAAGGCTATCGCCTTTCGATGACATTTGCAGTGTAACATGCAGATACGGGGCCAATTTTTTTCTTCGAATGCGCGGCTTTCTCAGTGTGATCGCGTGCGCACGCGCGAACAAGTAGCGGCCTCCCGCGGCGACCTCTGTAACTTGCTTTTTCGCTCACAGACGCACAGACGATTTTTCGCTCACAATCAACGGGGCCGACGGCGGGTTTTCTGCGACACGAGCTCTCTAACGCTATCCCGTTAAAAAGGTGCGGTCACGATCGCTGGCGTGCGTTATTTCGGCAGGCATCCCTGGCGTGGCCATATTACCATACACCAGCGTTATGTGGAGTTACGCGAGACTGGATACAAATACCAGCGTACTGAGTATAACGTTACAATTTGTTTTTATCGCGACATTGATTCGTCCTTGTGGTAAAAATGTGATTTTTTTCTTTTTAGGAATGCTCCGTGCCAACAGATAACTATCGCACGTAATTTGAGTAAGGTCGTTCGATTCGGCTTATCAAGAAAGACACAATCAAATTACTGCACACTCAGACAATTAGTAATGTTAGCAATTAATTCTTATTATGTGAGTACGCCAACATGCTGTAAGTTGCTTTAAGTATGTAAATACGTGATATTGCGGTAAATATAATATAATTAATCGTGACTCCCCACATACCCTGAATTCGGTCTTCAGAATTCTGGCATCAATTTATGTAAATGTCACGCGTTTGTGAGCAGTCGACGACGGTGCGTGCCGCATAGGGTTAATTACGTTTATATTATTCTACATGAGCCACTTGGAATATGCAAATATGCTACGGCCGTATCGCAGTCAATCTTTCAGCTGAACCCACGTATTGTTTCAGTCGTTTCGCGTGGGCAGAAAATACATGCAGGACGGTATGGTCCACGACCAGCGCATAATGTCGGCATTCGTAACCGCTATTGTTGGGGTTGTTTTTAGATGGGTCGAGGAGGCTGGTTGACTGATTGATCGTACGATAAAAATAAATAAATAAATAAAATCAAACAAGAAACACAATAAATTGCTTTGCTGCCCATAGGTGTTTTGTTTTCGCATTTCTAAACTAGATATTAATACATACATACATACATACATACATACATACATACATACATACATACATACATACA